ATGGATCAACTGCATATGCTAGCCTGGCACTGGAGCCAGCCTGCACCATTTGTCCAGTCCACAGAGCTGGAGAGGTTGAGCACCACTGTCTCAGTGTATTTTGTTTGTTTGAGGCATGCCATGTTGTGTTGTGCCCTTTTGTGAGGGGGTTCGCCCTTGGAGGCAGAATGGGAACGCTGCAGCCCCCTCCTGCAATAACTTGGAGAGGAGATTGGTGTTCCAGTCCTGCCCTGGCCCCTCCGAGTTCTTTGGAGCTCTTTTCCCTCTGCCGTGTATGGTTGTTTGGGTTCTCTTCACCTGAAGCCACTTTCAGAGAAACTGCCCAAAGCATATGGCATCTATCCTGAGCTCATTCTTTGTAGGGCTCCAGAGGGAATGGCAGGGATTACTCTTTCAGTCCCAAGCACCAATCACCTTGCCTTACAGTCTGACCTTCCTTTTCCTGCCCAGGGGAGAATGACTTTAACACAACCCCATTTAATGTGCCAGGCACAGTCCCACCATCTGGGGAGGGAAGCAATACTTTTCTATTCTATGGGAGACTCATGCATGCTAAAATCTCTCATGAGAGACAGGATGATGCCAAACAATGACACACGTCTTCCATCTGAGCACCTTGCAAATGTAATTAATGCTTGTAAAGCCAGTTTACAGATGGGCAGAGTGATAGTGACTTTCCCAAACCCATTCAGCATGTCATAGTAGAATTGAGATTAGAACCCAGATCTCATAGCTCCCAGACCTGTGATTTAACTCTGACTGTGAAGGGTAGAGCTTTGCCCTTGGTTTTACCTATCTCAACTCACCAGTGTCCGGATAGATCTCAGGGCAGAGTTTTCATCTATCAGACTCCCATCACAGAGGACCTGAATACCTTTACTCTCCCTGGTAGGCTGCAGGTGACATGGTAGTTTTTCTAAACTCCCCTTTTAGTGACCTGGATTCAAATAAGAGTTAAGGGGCAGATGAAGTGACTGTAGAGCAGGAGAGAGTCTGCTTCTTTGTTTGGACAGGGCAGTAGCATACTACCATGTAGGCCTCATTTTATGAACAGAGGAAGGAACTCTACTGCAAACAGGGTCAAAGTAAGTTACTAAGACACCTACTAATGAAGCTAGAAATGCAGGGCTGGATCCACAAAGGTACTTGACTCCTACTCACTGATTCTAGAGGAAGGCTTGGTGCCCCAAAATTTTTGTGGTTCTGTCCCACAGTCTAATTTCTAAATCCACTGGACTGGAGAAAGCTTTGTGGAGGGGCAGAGTGAGCAAGGACTGGAGAAGTGTCCTTGAGACTATGCATTTGGAGCTATTCACTGGTATAGTTATACTGGGATAAGTCTACAGTGGACACTAGGGTTCATGTCTGCATTGCCTAAGACCATGCTTGGGATTTGTGGAAAAATGCCTCACCCTCTCTGTCCCATTTCATCCATGATATATTCTGAAAAAGTTTAATGGAGCCAGTCTAATAAGCATGTCTAAAACTGATATCTGGACTGCTGGTTGTGCCCTGGGTTAAAAAGAAGCCTCTATGGCCCCTGGCAGACATTATGTTTATCATGGAATTAACACATTTGGTGTTAAGTTGTAACGTATTTCACGTGCAAGAAATTTATGGCAAGAGAAAATGGCAAACCAGCCACAAAGGTGTTCCACATTTAATCAGTTCATCTGGGCAGGTGGTAGGCTTTGGTTCCATTTTGGGTATCCTGTTCAAGCTTTGGATCCTGAGGACCAGGCAGAGGGCAGCCCCAGGTCTCAGTTTGGACACTTGGTTTGAGCCCCAGTTCATCAGGATCAGGCAGTGGGCAATCCTGGAGCACAGCTGCACCCCTGCCCAAGTCCTGTAGATCAGCTGCTTTTGGATTAATGTATACCCCCAACCAAATCCATACAAGTTAGTTTGGAAGCAGTCACTCATTCTAAAGGGTATACTTAGGAAGTTGTACCAGTATAAATAATGATGCTGGTAAAATTCTTCAAGCAGATAAGCCCATGAATAGAGTTGGAAGGCCGGAAAGGGTTAATCAGGGAAGAGGAACAAACAGAGCTGTGACCACTGTGGGGTATTAACCAAAGGCAGAAGAGCCAAAGAAGTCAGAAGACCTGGGGCTAGATAGATTGTACACCAAGCAGGGGGGCAGCAGAGGAACTTAGGGAAATATTTAACTGGTAGCTATGGCAGCAGATAAAAATTCTGCTTCTCCACAGGGTGGCTGGAAATTAGTTTTAGTGGTAAGGTCCTGTTTGCAGAGGGAGAATGGAGCTACCAGCAGGCAGACGACTCCCAGAGAAAAGTTAAAGAGAATTAAGAGTAGCTTAGCTGCTACTGCAAGCTAAAGAGCTCTGAGACAGGGAGTCTGCGGGAATGCAGGCAGCACAGGTCCAAGGGGAGAACTCAGTGCGAGATGGGGTCTCAGCTTAATCAGCAGCGGAGATTCCTCCTGAATCTGAAATTGGGCACAGCCAGCATGATGTGCAGCATGATTAGGATAGAGCAGCCACTGGCAGGTCTGGGGTGAGAGGTGGGGAAAGGGAGCCCAGACCTGGAATAACTCAGGAAGGGGCTGAAGCTCAGGATGGAGGGGCCTTGGTAAAGGCAAGTACAAGAAGGCTGTACATTTATTTGCCCCCTTTCCCTTTGTCCAAGCCTCAGAACTGCCTTCCTCTAGCAAAGTGGGGGATAACTTCTTTGATAGGTGAACCACGAATGAAGCTCCACACCCTCCTGAGTGCTGCTCTGATCCCTTTCTCCTGCTTGATCTGCTGCTTTACTTCCTGCTCTGTGCTTCCTGCCTAATCTGTTGCTCTCCTTTTTGTTCCATGCCCTATTTGCAGCTCTGCTGCCTGCCCCCCACCCCTCCCAATCTGTTGGCCACCCTTGCCCTAGCAAATACCACCTCTCTGGCTTCCTTTTTCTCCCACCTCCTGACATGTTCAGTCAATTATAATCCTCCTTCCCTTGTCTGCTCCTTGTTCCAGTATTTTAGTTTTTAATGATGCTAAGCCTGTTGTGAACACTATCTCAGGAGGTCTCTGCAAATGCTAAAAGCAAGGGAGGGGAGGAGGGGCAGAGATGAGTTTGGAGAGATACACTCTAATGTCATTCCAATAAATACATTGTCTCAATTAGTTCACAACAGTTTGGACAATAATACACGCTGATCCTGCCAATACATTGCTATTGAACTGGAAAGATTGAGGCGAGGAGGTGAGAAGGGCAGGAGGTCATCCAGCATCACAGCTTCTATGCAGCACTGGAGCCTGGACCATTAATGCCTTCAATGCAGCATCACATGTTAGACAGGGGAACGAGGTGATCCCTGTGAAAAATGAACCTGTGATCCCTATGGAGACCTTCAGGTGTTATAATGGACCTTGTCACACGTTACACTTTGGATGAGTTTTATTTAGACCGTAGTAAATATTACTGTGAGTTAGAAAGTTTCTGAGCAGTCACCCAGTAACACTTACTATGATCTAAATAAAACATGTCCTAAATGCTTCAGTGGTTGAAAACTCCTGTGCTCTGTAAGGTCTGGGACTGACTAACTGCTATTTGTCAGTGCCAGCCCCACAGGAAGTCCCCTGATCATATTACCTCCATGGAGCAGCTGAACATTAGTGCAACATGTGTTAGATAATATCATCTGAGGATACTCCTTATAGGAGAAATCCTAACTAAATGCTACACTACGAGGGCACTTAGCATGTTTTACTGCTTGAATACTTGGACACTAAGGTAAGTGTCCTGTGCCCTTGCAAACCCTATGCATAGTTTGGTGGGTTCATTAGTATTCTTTGCTTTCAATCCCTTGTTTTTAAAGTTCCTGTGTGTTGAATTGCACTGGAGCAGTTAAGGCTGTGAATCTGAGTTAATCTGGAAGCACCACAGCTGGTGGTGGAGGTGCATCTCAGTGATACTCACCAGTGAACTAGCAGTTTCTAGACATACCTGGAGGTCTTTTTGTCCTTTGAAGTTGGACTGGAGTTTCCTCCAAACTCAAGCATTCGTGTCCTATTGGGATGCACACACGACCATATGTAACATGTCTCAGCCAGCTCTCATTATATATCCACTCCTTTTAAAAGCTGCTTTTGCTTATGTTGATCAGGCCTGACTGGTAGGGGTTGAGGCAGGGCATGGCTAGCTTAGGGGACTGGTAGCAGGATAGGGAGCTTTTTGCCTTTGTATTAGGAAAAACTAAAAATCTTTCTTTCTCTATATTTTATTATTGTTCAATGGGTACTGGTGTCACCACTACCTGTACAAGCTGCCTCCCCAACTCCTCTCCATTCCCCCACCCCCACCTCCCTGTTAGAGGCTCAGCAGAAAGTCAGAGTGGAGGAGCTGTAGAGAATGAAGTTCTCTCCCATCTCTTTAGGAGGATCCATCTAGAACGGGGCCTGAGTGCTGGTATAAAACATGGGGGACTGTGCATCTTCTGTGTCCAGGGCTGTAGGATATACTAGTAGTGCTTGTACAACTCTAGAACAGTTCAGAATGATTGGCTGATTAATTCTCACCATCCTTCTGCAAGGTGACATCCCTGCTTTACAAAGGGAGAAACTAAGGCACAGAGCAGTCATGATTTGACCAGGATCACTCAGCTGGTCCCAGATCCTGGCTCTCACCACTACAGTACTCTTCCTCTCAAAGCTGGGAACTGAGCTCCCTGTCTTTGCAGAATTCCCTGTCCCTCACTGAGAGGCAATGTGTTCTTGGCTTTTAGTCTCCAGCGAATCTTCAGTTTCTTTCTCTAGGATTAAATTAATTTAAATACAGACTGATGCCAGCAAGTCAGGAGAAGTGAGAAAACCCCAGTTTTCAGGCCAAGGATGCCTTTGCATCTTTAACATGCTGGCTTTCTCCTCCTGTATCCCTTCAAGTCCACATTGCTTCTCAGGCGAGTGTATGCAACTCTAACCACTCTGAGGACTTGGACTCTGCTTGCACTTTGCTGGTGTTCCCTTTTCTAATCCTTTCTCTTTTTTCAGCTCCAGCTCAGGCCCAGATCATCCATGCTGGGCAGGCATGTGTTGTAAAGGAAGATAACATCAGCGAGAGAGTGTATACCATCCGGGAAGGGGACACTCTGGTTCTGCAGTGTCTGGTCACAGGACACCCACGGCCACAGGTAACCTGTCACCCATGCCCCTGTGGTTTTCTGTCAGGATTATTCCTCCATGTTGAGGAGACACTGTGGGAGGCTTAAGTTAGGGATACAAATTTCCCCAGCACCTTCACTCTCCTGCTGATTCCCCACCACTTTCACTCTCTTCTCTTTCTCTCTCCTGGCTTCCAAACCAGTGTCTGCTGCACTGGAGCAGCTGCACCATGAAGAAAAAAAGGGCTTAAGCAGCAGAGGTGCTGGACCTGGTTGTGAGCAATCCCTGGAGCTGAAGTTGGCTGAGTGTGTACATCACCCCTAGTGGTTACAGCCAACAAAGGGGATAGAAGGCCTAGTAAGGCATAGCAAATGGAGATTCCCCTGTAGATCGCCTGAGAGTGGCCTTTATTCTGGAGCAGAAGGTTTTGAGGGGGTAATGCTGGCTGTTTGCTGCCCACTAATATCTCAAGGGTCTCCCCAGAGCTTCTGGCATTGTTCAGTACATAGAGCCCCAAAAGGCAGATAGAACAGACTGAACTAAAAACTCCATTTAATTCTGTGCAGTGTAGATAACCTGTAGACTTTAATCCTCTCTCCTCAGAATAGTAAAGCTTGGATAAGGGTAGTGCAAGCTTCTCCTCTGCCCTTCACCTTCAGAGAAGAAGAGCAGAGCCCCCCTGGCCATCCCATCCTTGGCTTCTCTCAGCAAGCTGTTAAAGGAGACTACTTAGCAGAGGCATAACTAGCAGGACTTGCACCCTGGGCCAGACCCTGCTGCAGGAGGGGGGGGAATGGGTGCCAGAGGGGAAAGGATGCCAAAGACAGAGGGTAGGAAGGATGAGTCTGATTTGCTCTGAGGACTCGGAAGTCCCCAGCTGGTGCTGCTGCAGTGCATTCTGCCCACCCAGGTTGTTACTACAACAGCAGCAGCACAGTGTCCCCGCACCCAGGACGGACTCCCTTGAGGTCATTTTTCTACCTCCCCCACAAAATTGGCATCCATGTCTGATGGGTCCCGCTTGGCCACCAAGTTATGCTACTGTTGCTAAAGTAACTTGGGCAAGAGGTGGTTTCCTGATGTGGGTACTTGCCTATGGTGAACATCCCTGAGACCCACCAGCTTGTTTAGTACAGCAGCCAGCAAACAGGTGTCAGAGAATGGCAGTTTTTTTATTGGTGCTGATTTGGGTTGGATTCAGACCCATAACACAGGTACATCTGCACTTCAGGCCGAGGCTTGACTGCAGCTGCTGTGAATGAGCTTTAAACTTGCTAGCCTGGATGCTGGCTGTGTACCTGAGATGGCATGCAGCCGAGGTGGGGGAGCTTCTGGAGGGTTTGCCTAGGGTCCCTGAAAGCTTTGCAGCTCATGCTGAAACCCATATTGATGCAGCTACACTGTTACCCAAGCTAGCTCATTTCAGCCCAGCTCAGATCTGTCTCCATGAGTATCAGTCACACTTCTGGACTGGACCTCTAGAGGTGAAAGTGCTGTGAGGAGATTCTGACTTAGTGGCTGGCTTGCATAAATGAGCCCCAGAGCACTGCTGATATTGTGACTTAAACCAGACCTTGGGTACCAAAATAAACCTTCAGGAGCCTGTTATGCTGTGAATATGCTTCCCCAGGAGAAGAACAAGAACAACTATGAGAAGTTCATCTTTTCCCCCTGCACCCTTCTCAGCCTTTTCAGCAGCTATGCCTGCTGTAGGCACTTGTTCAGATAAGCTATTGTTCAGTGTATGCCAATCACCCCTTCCCCAAATGAACTCACAAGGAGCTACTTGGCTCCTAAGAAAGGACAAAGGGAAGAGAGCAGCTCAGGCAGAACAATCTGAAACAGATTATTGAAATCAGGAGACAATCTGAGCCAGGAGTTTGAGGAAACAAGACACTTAACAGAGCTCCCTGGGCCATTGCAGAACACTGTGGAGGATTGCCTGGTCCACACACAGGGGTATCCTGATCACAAACAGGTCATAGGCATGCAGAAAAGAAGCAGGGGAATGCTTATGCCCAGGTGCCTAGGTACACACTGTGTGGTGGAACACATGCTACTCATGGGCACTCTGGACCTGGGAGCATGACAGAGTATTGGTGTTTTGGGGGCACACAAATACTGGTGATGCATGCAAAACCATGGCACAGGCAGAGCACATGGGGCACTGCACTGTGTGCCCATGGAGGCCAGGCACATGGAACCCCAGATGATGTATAGCAGGACACAGATCCATCTCTCCCTCTCCCCAGTCTCCCTGTTCTTACCATCTCTTCTCCCTTTCTTCTTGTGCTTTGTCTCTCTCCCCTCCCTCTCCCTTGTATGCCCTCTCTCTCCTCCCCAGTGCTCCAAATCAAAGCACTTCTCTTAACCTTTGTTTAATCTTTTCCCTTCCCCTCTTCCAGCCACTCATTAAAGCTTTAACATGTGGCCAAAATATTTAAATGAGGTTGCAGTGAAAAGGCTGGGGAAAGATTAAAGAGCTGACTGAAGAGTCCTTGCAAGCAAGAGACTCTGAGAGACTTTCAGGCCCCAAAACAATTTCATAATACACCTACAGAGGCTAAATAAATCCATCACAGGGTGGCCATTAGCAGAGAAAATCAGCACAGTATGGAGCACTTAGAATTGGAATAAGCTGTACAGCTCTGTCCTCTCCAGAGCACCTGGCTCCAATCCAGTGACATGTCATTTGATGTAAGGGTTTGACATGGGCCACTCGGTGTCCACCCTGCCAGGACATTAGCCCTTCCTAGCTTGAGGACGTTAGTGAATGAAGGTTCTCTTGCTTCCCTCCAGTTGTTCAGTGCTAACAAGTCACTGATTCTCAGTCCAGCCTCTAGCAGGGCAGGTGTCCACATTGGAGGACGCTACCATCTGCTATTCCATACAGAGGTTGCCAACAAAGCAGACCAAGAAACCATAGAACAAATGAGCTGTGGTGTCTGCCCTTCCTTCCTGCTGGGACAAAGGAAGCTTGCACTGCCGCTGCCGGCACTGTACCTTGTTATGGGCATAGGAAGAGGACTCGAGTCTATGGGGCACTTCTGTCCTGTCCCATGATTTACTGTGGAACAACATAAGAATCTGCACAGATCCCCCAAGCTGGGATTTTTCAGACTAATCATGTAAAATAAGGGCAAACATGCAAAACAGTCTGCAATCTGAAGGGCTCTTTTTCTTCTTTGTTAATGCCTGTGCTACAAAAGGCTGATTTACAAAAGTAGCAGACAGTGGGGGCTCCTCCAGAGAGAGGGAGACAACAGGCTAGCAGCAACAGCAGCTGTGCCTCTTACTTCGGAAGACAGATTAAATATCCCATTGCCCAGAGAGAGATGAAAAGGCACTGACTGAAGGATGATAAAAGCTTTGCAACCAAGTGCTTGCTGCCCATGCAGCCACACAGCTGCCTGCCCACATACACTCCCCTTGCACCCTCCAAGGACCTGCACTGAAAGCCCTGTCTGTGCCACCACTGAGCCAAATGGGTTTGGAGGAGGGTTTTTCCTTGGTTAATTAAACAGAGCAGAGGGAGTGGGTAACTCCAAAACATGTTTGAGCTAGTGTGAATTTAGAGCAGAGATTGGGAAAAACACAGCAAGATGGAAGGAGTTGTTGCATTTGGTAAATAGGTGTGTAGGGGTCACCAGAGGGCCTGATGTACTGGAGTTAGTAATGGGCAGATGCAGCCATCCAGCAGGGATTTATTAAGACTACTAAACTTGCATTGGATGCAGTGCACATTGCTGTGCCTCCATGTGGGGGAAGGAGGGGAGTGCCGCCTTCTCAGGTGAGGGGCAAAAAGGTGAGCGCTGCTGTGATGAGATCTCAGGCCTGTGCTCACAGCTTTGAGGTAGTCTGTGTACCCGATAGCCCTGTTTCTCTCTCCTGCTTATTCCCTTGCTGCAGGTGAGGTGGACCAAAACCGCTGGCAGTGCCTCGGACAAATTCCAGGAGACGTCGGTGTTTAACGAGACCCTTCGGATTGAGAAGATCCAAAGGCTCCAGGGGGGCCGCTATTACTGTAAAGCAGAAAATGGGGTTGGGGTCCCTGCCATCAAGTCCATTCGAGTAGATGTGCAGTGTAAGTCGTTTAGTGGCAGCCCAGAGTTTCCCACAGTTCTACCGTGCTTATCTAACTGCTGGGCTAGCAGGGCTCTACATTAGCCTGGAACCATGCTCACCCACTCAGGTGCAAAGAGGCCAGCACATTAGATACAGAATTCACCTCCCCTGGGGTTTTAGACCCTTCTTAGGGAAAGGTAGTTTTTTCTGTTTAAGCCACTCTCAGGGGATGGACCCTAACACATCATCAGGAAGTCCTAGCAGTTGTCTGGGGTGCAGTGCTGCAAATGGCTTCACTTGCCTTCCCTTGGTCTCCTTTCTGAAGCCAGTCTACTTTGCCCCTCCAAAGTGGACCCACTGCAACTCTCTGGTATGCCCCAGAAACCAGTGCCTCCTCTGAAGCACCGTGGGAGTGGAGCACAGGATTCTGGGATGCATCTGAGAAGGCCAAGTAGCAAATGGGTAAAGGTGAGCGGACCTGAGGAGCCCTCAGTTGAAGCAACAAAGGAAGACACCTGTATTAAAATTCCTCTGGCCTCGTGCTGCTCTGTCTGGGTCTCTCACACCTTGGAGCTTCCACTTGTATACTGTTCATCTTACCATGGACTCCAAAGTCTAAGGGCTTTCCATGCAGGAGTAATGCTTCTTTGTAAAGGTGCTGTGGCTAGAATTGAGGATGGGATTATGTTTGTCCAGTACCCGCCTGTGGGACAGAAGAAGTGCCTAGCCCTCGGCACAGTTTTGAAGGAGATGCATTAGGCAGAGGCACTCTGCCTCAAGTAGAATAGGCAGGCAATAGAACTGCACAGACTCCAGGCCCACTGCTGCCTTGTCTGTTCATTGTTCATTGCTGCCAACCGATGCGGTCCCCTTCCAATCCTGACCTGGGTTCCGAAGGCCTAGCTAATAAAGGGTTTAAATGAAAGATGTGCCAGAACTCCTCAGGGGTGTGAGCATCCCCAGGCTTAGGGAAATTCAGGATACAGAGCTGCAGTTTATTACCAGCTTTAAGCCTAGTATGCCTGCTGCATTCTGCTCTGGTAATAGTTTCCATCTTCCTTCCTCACTTTGCCCCATTGCTTTACTTAATTAGGGTTAGGGTTGGGTATTTGACTAGTCAAATAAAGTTTGGTCAATTGACCGGTCAAATATGTGTCAGAAATTGTAAAAAAATTGCCAATAGGTCCAAATAATACACAGAAAAAGCGTGAATTTTCCATTATGAAATGTGTCAAAAAACAATAACAAACCATATTTCTGTTAAGAAGACTACAAAAAAATAGTTTCTTGGTAAAAATTCTTTAATTTTTGATGAGTCAAAAAATATGCAGTCAATTGACCAACCCTAAGTAGGGTAGAGTCAGGTGAGTACCTTGCTATTGGGAAGTTTTAAGGACACATTTTTCTTTCTGCAGCTCATGCCAGACTGACACCCAAGTTCACCTATGAATGCGTGGCTTGTCCTCCTTCCCCCTCTCATGCCTATAATTCTAGCATATAATTGTCATCCCCTTCTCCACCACTCCCAAACATCCAGCCATGTGTACAAGTTTTCTTGTACACCAAGTTCACCATGTGTACTCAGTTTTCTTGGCCCTTGGTCTAGCACCTTGCCAGGGCTCTTTGTCTTCAGGCAGGGGGCTAGAGGGAGAATCTCTTTTGATCTGAATCTCTTTCTACGTTTTGGGAGGTCCCTTTACTTCTGCGGTGCAGTGTGGTATGAAGGTGATGTAGAGTCCTGCAGTTCCTCCTGCAGCTCTGACCTGTAGAACTGTGGGGCCAATGGGATGGCCAAAGGCTTTCTGATACTAACATCTACTCTGCAGATGGACTTGGTAATGCACCTCCTTCCTATTTGCTTGTATTCTGGGAGAAGTCTGCTTTCTACCAGCATCTCTCTGTACAAGGGAGCAGAGAGGAAAGGCTTAGGGCAGTTGGTTGAGAGTTCACCAGACAACTTTTATCTGGGTGATCCAGCAACTGAAACCAAACCCTTCTCTTTCTTCCCCTAAAACATGCTTGGAGGTAAGTAGTCACCAAGTAGTCACCTGCAGAACGGTGTAATGAAGATTGTGTGGGGAGCTATATTAGGTACAGGGCATGTGCATGGGGTTCCAAGGAGTCTACAGTAACCTGCAGTGAGGGACTATTGCTGGGGTGAGCCTTAGGTCAGAGAAAAGGTGGGTGGAGTTTGGCTGTTGAGTCAAGGTCAAGTAGACCTTGGGGACAGCAAAATATAAATAGTTAATAGTTCAAATGCATCCCTGGTGCTACTCCACTGAAGTCAAGGAGTTGCATCAGAGAAACAGGTGATTTTGTGCCTGCCATACTTAGTTTGTTCCCAGCCTGGTCCTGAGGACAATTTCCCTCTGGGAGAAGGAAGCTTTGAAGTGCTGCAGAGACTGATTACCTGAAGAGGCTGAGTCAGATTAGAGGTTGGCATGTGCCTGTCCAGATCCCTGTTTTTAGAGCTCCCTGTCCTTTGATGTTAATTGAAATAAACTTTCCCTCAGGGAGAAAGAAAGGCAGTGGGCAGTTGAATTTCAGCTGTGGCCAGTCAGCCAGCCAGGTGGGCAGAAAGCACAGGTGGCAGAAGGCCGGTGCTAACGGGGCTTAGACCCCCCCAACTTTTTGTGGTGGCTGGCAACAGCAGCAGCACCACAGCACTGCCATCCTGCAGTGCCCGGTGCCACTCAGCATGCAGCCACTCTTCCACTACCACACACAGCACCAGCACATGCCGGCGGCCCTCCAATGGCCCAGTGGGAAGGAGGGGTAGGGGGTCAGGTGGGGGGCTCAGGCAGGGCCCCCAAATAATATTTTCCCTTACCGCTTATGGGCAGAAGAATTTAGGAAGCTGAAGTCACCAATACAGAGTTCCTATGTCTGGCCCAGCTAGGTCAGGATGCTGCTATTTGGATGTCCCTATGCTGAAGGAAGGGAATGGGAAGACAGGAAAAAGGATGGGGACATTTTAAAGACATGTTGTCATTGAAACATCCCATATCGTTGGCTCAATAAGCCTAATCCATTCCTCATGCAATTCCACTAACTTTATTGGCATTACTGTATACCAGGGATACATATGTGTTCTTGGGCCTTACTTCAGCTCTTCTCAGGAGATTTAGATTAAAGACTGACAGCTTTGGCAAGAGGAACCTGTGAGAAAAAGTCTAGGATTAAGAATCGGGAAGATGGCATTCTGCACTCCCCTAGGGAGACCCTAGATGAAGAGGGACTGGGATTTCTAGGGAGCCTTGGACATTGGAGGAACTAGTCCTACTTTAATACTCGTTTGGTGTTCATCTGACAGAGCAATGATAGGCTCAGAGTGTTGGTAGTTGTAGGGCCCATCTTCTAAGGTGTTGGGGAATAAAGGCAGTACCTACAAGGAGGAGGGAGGGTTGATAGAGCTCTGTCCAGGGTCCCAGGTGAAGGGGAAGGTTAAAGCAAAATTCAGCCAGACTTCCATGACTGAATGGAAATAATCTTTATAGAGAAAGCTAGTTTCTCTCTGTTTCTCTGCTGTCTTTCTCCTTATGTCAGATCATTGTTCATTTAACGGCTTGGCTCATATCTGTAAGCCATGGCATGGTCAAGCTAACAAATCTCAGCTTCCATTATAAATACTGTCTTCCAAACATACACCTTGTTAAAATATGCAAATGGACTGGTCCGTGCATGTGTCTCAGTGGGGAGAGTGTGCTGCTCAGATGATGCATTAACAGCAACTCATCTCTTTTTCTGTAGCCAGATTTCCAAATTTGCAAACATCTAAGCCAATATTTTAAAACCAAGTGACATGTAAGAACAGGAGGTGATGGGAACACATCTTCTCCCTTAATGGGCTCAGGGGATGGCGGGGATGGCATGAGTAATGCAGGCAATTAGCTTCAGTTTTAGTGATAGTTACCTCAGCTATTCACAGTTAAATCGGGGCCTGTTTATGATTCCTGTGACACTGAAGGGTATCCAGAGTCACTCTGCGGTGTTCAGTGGCCACCTTCCACTCAAAAGGTGCACATCAAAGGGGAGGGGGCATCTGGTCATGGGACATGAACATACATTTAATCCCAGTAGTGATGCTGTTTGATGTTCCCTACTTGGTGTTCCCCAGCTTTTGGGAACCCCTTTGTATGAAGGGGCTCCATCTTCCCTACCAGCTCTCATGCCAGACTTTCACTTGTTCATCTCTCAAAACACAGAATACTATAGAAGAGGAGCACAGTTTGAGAAGCCCCTTTTCTAACAGGGAGGCTGCAGCTGGGGAATCCTATGCCATGTGCCTGCTGCTGCCAGCCTGAGATGAGGAGTTTACTAAGTGGGTCTACCTGCAGGACTCTTCCTTGTGGCTTAAATGCTTAAATAAAGTTTCCTTGTGGCTTAAATGCTAATCACATTGGTGAGTGAGTCAGGACTAGCAAGCTTCTGGTGCAGGGCAGGCAAGAAAAGGAGAGTGGGGGGACAGCTTCCTTAGGGAGGGTAGAGACAAAGAGATAAGCTAATGGATAGAGCGAGGATATTTAATGTGAATTTTTAATAGGAAAGCAAGAGATGGGGAGAGGAGAGAGGGTTGGCTCACATTTTAATAGGAAGAAGGGATTAGGGATACATTTTAATAGAAAGAGAGGCAGGGAGGAGGAGAAGGAAGAGAGAGGCGGCATCCATGTTATACATCTCATGCTCCCATGGTGGATATCCCACCAGACCCTTTCTGCCCGTGAGGTGAGTCTTCAGCTCAGTCTGTTGCTGCTGTTACCATTCTGATTTTCTCTCCTGCATTAAGGTTTGTTTTATATTTATTTCCACTGTCTGGTCATTTCAAAGTAAAGGACTTAGCTCCAAGTTCCCATGGGGAATCTTTCAGGATTTGGGGAACAAATGTCACTGAGGTAAAAGGTGGCAGCAGAGGGGGACAAGGGTGTGGGGAGGGACTTTCTGGGTGTGGGAGCCCTTTTGGCCTGTTGACTGGGATGGAGAAGTGAGGCTCAGGGGTAAGTGAGCCAGCCTGGCCTTAAGTAGGTGCACTAGACAGTTGGTTCATCTTAGTGCTGTCTGAGGTCTGCAAATCAGGGCTTGTTTCCTTTTCCTGGAGAATATTGATTTCTCCCATCAGTTTCCTGTAGATCTCAAGTAAAGTGGGCTTTTAACCTAATTGTTATATAATTGTTCTCATTGGCTGCCTGATTCAGGGGCTCCCCACCTTGTCTCTCCTGATCAGTGTCACTGTCTGCCTGGCTGTGTGTGCCTAGCCTGACATTTTGGTAATGGCCACCTTGGGCTTGTCCTCCCTGCCTTCCAGATCTAGATGAGCCTGTTCTCACCATCCACCAAACCATCAGCGACGTGCGTGGCAGCTTCTACCAGGAGAAGACGGTTTTCCTCCGATGCACAGTCAACTCCAACCCACCAGCTCGCTTCATCTGGAAGCGGGGAGCTGAGACACTCTCCCACAGCCAGGACAATGGGGTGGACATCTATGAGCCTCTCTACACACAGGTAAGAGATGTCACCCACGAGCAGATCTTGCTGTTAGCGTGCATTGGCACATCACCCACTGGGGTCTGGACATGACCAGGGCTCAATATCTGTGGAGGATTCAGGAGTGCAGTGCTGGGGAGGGGGAAGTGGGTCTCCCTACACAATATGTTACCTATGATGGGAAAGATGTGCATCACAAGGAGCCTTCCTACTAACGATACTGATGGTGAAGGCAATGGATGAAACATCAGGGAAGAAAGCCCAGAGTTCCTTGGCCCGCCATGAGAATAGTGCCTGTGACTTTCAGGCTCTCTTGGAGATGGAGCCAGTTTAAGAAATTCCAGACAGGTTTGGTCATGTTTCTCACAGAGAGACATGGAGCTCAGTCCACAGGCCTCCAGCACTTTCCTTTGTCTTCCTATCTCTCCAGCCCCGATCATGCTCACATTATTTCTCTGCTCCTCAGCACTGTTCATAGACAGTAGATTATTCATTGAACTTTTAGCCCTTATTCCTTTTTAGAAACTGCTTTTGAGCAGGCCAAGCTTTTCAAGGCCATGTCAGTTAGTTATTCATTTTGCTGGATGAAGAGTTTGTGCACACTACTTTGAAATGTTGAGATTATTTTCTAAGTCTGTCATGTAATGGAGGCTATGATGGCAGCGTGGTTAAGGTGCTTTGCTATAGTTCAACAAGTGTTGAACCTTGCTACAGGCTGGCACCAAAGGCAACCCCTAGCTGATTTGGATGTAAATGGATACTAGATCACTTGGGCTTCAGAGTCAATGAGAGTCGACAGTGGCTAAGCTGTGTTGCTAGCCACATCACTCCCAGGTGTGCTGCTGGGTGCAGAAACTGGTGTGCCATAACCATGGTAATTCATGGGCCACTGGACTTGGGAAGAACTGGTTGTCTTTGCCCCATGGTGTCATTCTGCTCCCTGATTGATAGCTCCAAGCTGCAGAAATAGGGAAGAATATTTCCTGTTTGAAAATTTGCAAAGATTCTGATGGCTGTTGGACTTGATTGTGCTAAAAATGAAGAGCTTTTCAGAGTGGGAAGCAGTAGCACATGCAGTTCAAACACACATGTAGTCTTCCTCCCTTTCTCCTCTTCCTAGCATATAGGGCAAAACTCTTGATTTTTCTCTCTATCTCCATGTTACCCCTTGAATCCTAATATGTTTCTTGTCAGTGACTGCAACCCAAGAGTGAGATGGGGAGGTTGCAGGCAATCTGCTTTTTGCTCTGGAAATCAAACCTGAAGTTCTGCTGTGGCTTTGAACATTCTTCAGTAACTAACTGATTTCAGTGCTTTTGGCAAGGCAATTAGGCACCACAGGGAAGTGATGAACTATGGGGAGACGTGAAAAGGCAGTTTTGGAGAGGACTATTTCATCCCTTGCATCACTCTGCTAACTTGAGTCCTGGAAGCTGGGCTCTGAACAGACTCTGGCTTGGTTTGATTTTTGAGCCATGCCCCAGGCAAACTCTCAGTTTAACCAGGGCAGTGTTCACATTTTATTGAAACCCGTCTTTCCT